AGAAACTCCCCAAATACAGGTGTGCCAAGCTTGTGGTCCTCTGTAGCTCAGCTGGTAGAGCACGGCGCTTGTAACGCCAAGGTAGTGGGTTCGATCCCCGGGACCACCCATACACAAAAATGTATGCACGCATGACTGTAAGTCGCTTTGGATAAAAGCGTCTGCTGTTTAATAAAACTGTTTGCTTTGTCATTATGAGGTATTGTGTGTAGATTGATTAGGAAAAAAACAATTTAACCAATTTTAGAATAAGGCTGAATACTTTCTGAATGCACTGTACACTAACTTTAAGTCATGAGCAAACTCTCTCCTTCATTCTCACTCTATTTACCTATCACTATCTCACACGAACGCTTGCACGCACACATGCATATGCACACACACACACACACACAACGACTAGTGGAGGGCATCTGACACAGTCATTACTCTAGTGTCCCCATAAGGTGGTCTTGGACTCCTGGCTGCTACACTGGACAGAGTCCTGGCTCTCTGCCTGACAGGCTGGCACAGGATCAGGCTGGCACAGAAAGAACAAGGGCTGGAGGGAGGTGGAGAGAGGAAGGGAATGGAGAGGAGAGAATAGAGAAGGGTGAGTCAGGAAGAAAGACAAAGATAGGGATGGAAAGGTAGCCAGGTCTGGGAAAAATGTTAGATAGGCATTTAAAAATGTTTAATGTGTTTAATTGGTTCTTTATACTTCCTCTGTCTCCTATCTCTCTCTACAGTGCTTTGGAAGCGGTCTGAAACTATAATCATGTCATAATGTCTAGCAGATCTACATCCAACTGCATCACTCAGCACAATCTCCATAAAGGGAGTGTAAAGGGAAGTGATTAAAATGTGTCTTTACACTGTGGTACCACAGGTTGAGAAATGCTGAGTAACCGATATAGAAGCCGCTGATTTCTCCCTACACACACGCAACACGCAAAACCCACACAGTGCTACAGTGATGAATGAAAACCTCAGCAACACGCTAGAGACGAATTAACATCCTGGCCTTTGCAGAGTCGCTTGTCGATACGGCAAATGCTCTATCTGCAACACATTCAATTATACTCTCAAATCAGAGAGCAACTTAATCAAAAGCTCCCATCTCATTACCTTCGAGGTCAGCAGCTATCGTTCCACTGTGGAAACTCTTCCTAAAACAGGGCCAGGCTGGGCATACACCCACTGCAGAGGGTCCCAGAGTCCAAGTCCCAGAGGATGGTAGCTTCCAACTTCTAAAGACTATTTCAGTATGTGATGTCTTTTTAAACTTACTGTCACACCCTGGCTCTGGGGACTCTATATGTTGAGCCAGGGTGTGTAGATTCTATGTGTTTGTGTTCTATGTTGTAGTTCTAGTTCTTGTATTTCTATGTTGGCCAGAGTGGTTCTCAATCAGAGGCAACGAGTATCAGCTGTTGCTGGTTGTCTCTGATTGGGAACCACATTTAGACAGGCTGTTTTCCCACAGTAGTTGTGGGATCTTGTTCCGTGTTGGTTGTGTTAGACCTAGGACGTCAATTTATCGTTTGTTGTTTTGTTTATTGTGTGCACTTAATAAAATAAGTATGTACGAATATCACGCTGCGCCTTGGTCCTCCTCCTTCGACGATCGTGACAGAAGATCCCACCATACCAGGACCAAGCAGCGTGTCCAGGAGCAGGCAGCCTGGATATGGGAGGAGATATTGGACGGGAAAGGGTCCTGGACTTGGAAAGAGATACAGGCTGGGATGGATCGGCGTCCGTGGGAAGAGACGGTGGAGGCGCGCCGTAGAGAGGAGAAGCGGCGCCAACCATGGCATGGACGACGGGGCTGCTGGAGGCAGATAAGGGGCGAGTTCGTGGACGAGGTGAGAAGGCCACGGGTTGGGTATGGGAAGCCATTGATAAGAAAAGGAAGGGAAAGATGTAGAGGCACGGCAAGGAGGTACTGAGGTGTTGTATTGCCAGTCCGGGCCAGTCCCTCTCATACTGATCCCTGTCTCACCAAGCTACTAGGCCAGGTACGTGTTCCTGCCTCACCAGTTACGGTCGCGGCTGCCGGCCTTCCCTCGCACCAAGCTACGGTGCGCGTCTCAGCCAGCCCTGCCGTTATCCTGCCACCTGCGCTCCCCGTACCGGATGGTGCGGTCGCCAGCCCGGCCCGGCCTGTTCCTGCCCCTCGCACACGCTACGTGCGCGTCCCTGCCCGGCCCGGCCTGTTCCTGCTCCCCGCACAAAGCTATAATGGTTGCGCGTCGCCAGGCCCGGGGCCTGTCCTGCTCCCCGCAACCAAGCTAATGTGCCGCGTCGCCAGCCCGGCCCGGCCTTTTCCGTGCTCCCCGCCCCAAGCTCTATGGTGCGCGTCCGCCAGACCCCGGCCAGGCCTGTTCCTGCTCCCCGCACCACGCTAATGGTGCGCGTTGCCACCCGGCCCGTGCCTGTTCCTGCTCGCCCGCACCAAGCTAATGGTGCGCGTCGCCAGCGCCAGCCCGGCCCTGTTTTCCCTGCTCCCCGCACGCAAGCTATGGTGCGCAGTCGCCAGCCCGGCCCGGCCTGTTCCTGCCCTCGCACCAGAGCCTACGGTGCGCCGTCGCCAGCCCGGCCCCGGCCTGTTCCTGCTCCCCGCACCAAGCTAATGGTGCGCGTCGTCAGCCCGGTACGGCCCGTTCCTGCTCCACACACCAAGCCAGGGGTGCGCATCGTCAGCCCGGTCCTGCCCATTGCTGCTCCACGCACCAAGCCAGGGGTGCGCATCGTCAGCCCGGTACGGCCCGTTCCTGCTCCACGCACCAAGCCAGGGGTGCGCATCGTCAGCCCGGTCCGGCCCGTTGCTGCTCCACGCACCAAGCCAGGGGTGCGCATCGTCAGCCCGGTCCCGCCCGTTGCTGCTCCATGCACCAAGCCAGGGGTGTGCATCGTCAGCCCGGTCCGGCCCGTTCCTGCTCCACGCACCAAGCCAGGGGTGCGCGTCGTCAGTCCGGCACAACCCGTGCCTGGGTCACCGGTGCCTGGTCAGGTACCGGTCAGCTGCTCCACACCGGAGCCTAAGCAATCCGCTCCTACGATGTCCAGTCCAGCTCCAGCCAGCGGGGCCAGACCGGACCAGGGGCGTTACGGGGGAATTGTTGGAGGGTGGTGGTCAAGCCCGGAGCTGGAACCGCCTCCGAGGAGGAATGCCCACCCAGCCCTCCCCTGTTTGGTTTATGTTTAGGCGCGGTCGCAGTCCGCGCCTTTGGGGGGGTACTGTCACACCCTGGCTCTGGGGACTCTATATGTTGAGCCAGGGTGTGTAGATTCTATGTGTTTGTGTTCTATGTTGTAGTTCTAGTTCTTGTATTTCTATGTTGGCCAGAGTGGTTCTCAATCAGAGGCAACGAGTGTCAGCTGTTGCTGGTTGTCTCTGATTGGGAACCACATTTAGACAGGCTGTTTTCCCACAGTAGTTGTGGGATCTTGTTCCGTGTTGGTTGTGTTAGACCTAGGACGTCACGTTATCGTTTGTTGTTTTGTTTATTGTGTGCACTTAATAAAATAAGTATGTACGAATATCACGCTGCGCCTTGGTCCTCCTCCTTCGACGATCGTGACACTTACACACAAATACTTTTGTTGGAGAGAAAAAGCACGCCAGTTCTTGATTCTAGCTATCTAACCTAGGTCAGGTAATTCTCAGATAATTCTCACAAGCTCGTGTTAACTAACTTGTTTTTTTTAGTCTTCCGGACAATCTACTGTAAGTTCAACACTCGAGCAGTCACACTACGTAACTACACACAGGCCATGTTGGGTTGCCATAAAACATGTTAGAGCCTAGCCTACTTACACCGCAGTTGCTATAATAAAGTTCATGCTAGGTTTATTTTGGGGCATGATGTGAGCAGGCCTGGAGATACCTGGAGTGACAAGCCAACAAAAAAACACAACAATCATTAAAGATTCACTGTTTCAACATAGCGCTACCCTCCACCCCCTCCAGAGTGGTCTCTTCTGTTTGGTGTGTTCCAGTCAGAAGACATAGATAATGCAGGAACACATTCAATCATGATCATGAAAGCATCTTCCTCTCCTGTTCAAGCCTTGCTGTTTGCCAGGAAGTCTGATGATAATAGTTCCTTTACAGTTCTCAATCACTCACCCACTCCCCCATCCATAACAAATTAACAGAGTTGGCAAAGATAGAACACAGGTAGCAAATACAACTATTTTCCTGTGATGTAGCCAACAATATATCTTCAGCAACTCAAAATATGAATTGTGTCACACTTATAGCTGATATTTTAGATATCCATATACTAAATACATTGAAGTTGGAGAGGCGTCAAATGCCCACTAAAGCTAAAAATAGTTCTAATGGACTTTCTTAAATGCACTGAGAAATTGTTATGAGTATGAGCCTCCTCTGACATCTGCTTGGTGCTAACTGGCTCTATATCCCCTGAATTAGACTGATGATGCATCATCAATGTTGCTGTATGAGGCACAGTATGCAACTACACTGATATGTGTGGGAGAATCTCCTATCCATACGGTGGCCTTCTGTAGCCCTCTAAAAATATCGTTGTGAATATTTTCTGATGCAGTGAGAGTCTGACGCAAATCTTGACCTCTAGAATGGTAATTACGGGGTGTATATATGACAAATATATCCTTCACAATACCTTCTTTCATACAGATGCTGAGTATTTCAAAATGTTCTTTATGCTAGATAAACACATTTAATTAATTGTGGTGATTCACCATTGAAACTTTGTTAGCATGCATGATTATGCATCATCAATCCGACAAAGAAGCAAAACAAACAACCTTTAACTTACTCCCACAATGTTTTCCAACTCTTGGGCAACACCATCTCTCCAAGCTGTATGGCAGTCTACCATTCTAGTTCTAGTAACATTCTAGTTCTAACCCCAATATGTGACTCCAGACCACTGCAACCCAATTCACTCCCAGCGGCTCCAATGACATTGTCATGGCTGCTCAGCACACATCCCACTTGGGCCACTTAAGGACCCTCAGTAGATATGTGGCTGGTGGAGTGGGCTCTCATCAAGGTCTCCTTCCCAGACAAACAGCTCTCCATCCCACCCCATCCTAATGACCATGGCTGGGGCTGTGGAGCAGAGCATTAGTGGGGTCTAACGAGACTTGTCTATCCCAGGGTCAGGCCCAGAACACAGGGAGAACACAGGGAGAACAGGCCGGGCCAACCTGGTGTGTGCTGCTGAACACCATTGCTGTTCTCTTTATTGGCATTCCAACTGTTCAAACACACACACACACCAGGAACAGCAGAGCACAACAGAGTGAGTGTTTTCTCCACAAGAGGACCAAGGAGAGTGCCTCCACTTTTTGACCATAAGCGATCGAAGAGAGGAGATTGGAGAATAAGAGTGAGTGAGTGTTCAAGAGAGATCGCAGACAGACACTCCTAGGAGTTTGATAGACTAAGCACCCACCCGGGGAGTAGAAGAGGAGAGTTGCATATATGCTGGAAGGGCTTGAAAGGTTTGGCAAGAGAAAGGAGGAGAAAGATTAGCCCGACTGACAGCTCCATTAGAGACTCAACCTGGGCTTTGATCATTTCCTGAGCCCCCCTCCACTGCTACACAGCTCAGTACAGCTCAGTCACAAACACACACACACACACACACTGTGTGTTTGAACACACAGCTCAGTAGACGCAGGCAGCAAGCACCAGAAGCCACACACAGCAAATCTGACAGGCTCCGGCCCGCTGAATTGGCCCCGGCTTCACTGTGATCAAAGCTACACTCTCTGATGGCTCAGGCCCCCATCTGTCTCCCCATAACACTGAGGCTGCCACAGCACACACTACACAGTCTGCTCTTTATACACTAGGGAGAGAGGGGAGGTAGAGAGAGAGCGAGAGAGAGCGAGAGAGGTAGAGAGAGAAAGGGAGAGAGAGAGAGGGAGAGAGATGGAGAAAGAAAGAAAGAAAGAGAGAGAAAGGGGGAAAGAGAGAGATAAGGGGAAAGAGAGAGCAGGAGGGAGGGGGAGAGAGAGAGAGGTAGAGAGGAGAGGAGAGATGAGAGAGAGAGAGAGCGAGAGAGAGAGAGAGAGGGGAAAGTGATAGAGAGCGGGAGGGGGAGAGAGAGAGTTGGGGGAAAGAGAGAGAGAGAGGGAGATGGGGGAGAGAGAGCGATAGAGAGAGAGGGGGGGGGGGGAGACTGTCACTGAGTGAATGTGAATATTTGTTTCTCCCAGTTTTACAGTATGTAGGAGTTAAGAGACAAAAGAGCTTATTTGATGTTTGTTTGTTCCTGTCAAATTCATCTTACTTCACTGGGTATCTGAGCAACACCATAATACCTTGTACCAGCAACTCTACTGGAGTGTCAGCTGTGATCACTGTTAAAATTAACTCTATAGAACGGGCACAAAAGTATGAATACATACACAGAGCATATCAAATACATGCATGACGTACACATGCATGCACACACACACAAACATACACAAACACACGGAGGGTAGTGAACAGTATACATCACACACACTCATTGGAGGCCTGCCTTAATCTGGCCCTATTACAAGGCTAATGTGTGAAAGGTGAAAAGTCATGGAGTAGAGCAGTGATGCTGGCAACCACCCCATTATAACTGCCAGACTGACCCCTGACCCCTAACACTCTCCAAGTTCCTGACACCACACTGCAAATCTGCTTCAGGTCATTACCACGATAACCCTCCTTTGATAAAGATATCTGTTGTGAGCTGTAGAGTGGATATTCCCTCCATACCAGTGGATGTTCCCTCCAAACCAGTGGATAGTCCCTCCAAACCAGTGGATAGTCCCTCCAAACCAGTGGATAGTTCCTCCAAACCAGTGGATAGTCCCTCCAAACCAGTGGATAGTCCTTCCAAACCAGTGGACATTTCCTCCAAACCAGTGGATGTTCCCTCCAAGCCAGTGGATATTCCCTCCAAGCCAGTGGATATTCCCTCCAAACCAGTGGATATTCCCTCCAAACCAGTGGATATTCCCTCCAAAGCAGTGGATGTTCCCTCCAAGCCAGGGAATGTTCCCTCCAAACCAGTAGATATTCCCTCCAAACCAGTGGATATTCCCTCCAAACCAGTGGATATTCCCTCCAAACCAGTGGATATTCCCTGTAAACTAGAGCATGGATATTCCCTCCAAGCCAGTGGATAATCCCTACAAACCAGTGGATATTCCCTACAAACCAGTGGATATTCCCTCCAAACCAGTGGATATTCCCTCCAAACCAGTGGATATTCCCTCCAAACCAGTGGATATTCCCTCCAAACCAGTGGATATTGAAGGGTCTTGAGCATATAGAAATAGCATTATCACTTCATGTTGTGCATGGTAAAACAAAGAACACTTTATGCCCTGCCTCCCCCTGCTTGATTTCTCTGCAGAGACCCCATATGACCTCTTAATTCACACAGTCCATTCCTCCACACACACCCGTCTATTCCACAATAGTGAACCCTGTGATTGTCTCTCCTCAAGGGGTCAAGGGGTGGTAGTGTTGTCCATCCATCCATCCATAGTCAGCCTGCAAGCCCAGTGGCAGATTGATGTCACTTTGACAAACTCAGTCCTGTTTTCTATACTGTACTAAAAGTATGAGTGTCATTTAAACAGTTTGTTTGAGTTATGGTACAAATATGGTCCTCAAATTAGCATGAAATCATGGAAGTGGATGTTTGTCTTTACCTATTGGTTGGTAGCCCTGCCTCTTGGGGCCGCCGAAGGGGTTTCGACTGCCTCCAAAGGAGCCTCCGTCAATGGATCCGTATGACATCCTGTCCTGGTGGTTATGAGTCTGTCAGTCTGGAACAGAGAGAGAACACAACAACAGCAGTGAGATTGGTGGATGTACTATATGGATCTGAGTAGGCTTTCAATATTCTGGTATTCCAGAAATCCTGGTTGGTAGATTCCAGGAATCATCAGGGAAAAATATGGAAATCTGTGATGTGGGAATCTGTGTGTGTACGTGTGTGCGTGTGCATCTATAAGTGTGTGTATGAACTGAATCCTTGATGCCCGGTGACATTATTAATCACGACTCACCCTCGTCTATATGGAATTCTAACCCCATTCACACTCCATACCGGAGGGGAGGGAGGTGTGCAAAAACATCACTGAAAAAGTTAAAGAATGCATATTGAATGTGTATTCCATCCCAGACAGGGACACACAGATGACATGATGAGCTCTATGAAGCCTTGTGTCTACCAGCATCACAACCAAAGGTCACATGGTATCATGATTTCATAAGCTGTCCTGTAAGACCTTCAGCCCTCTGTGAATAGCAGGCATTGAGCTAAGTAGGCTTGTGATTGTGTTCAAATATCATTATCCAGCAGCCCTTTTGTGGTATTGAAGCCAGTCTGGTCTGGTCTGGCACCCTGGTCTGGGTACGTGAACACTGGCATTCATGACTGTCTCATAAGGGTGGCAAAGGGACAGAGAGAGAGGGAGCGGTGAGGGATCGAGAGAGAGAGAGGAGAGGAGAGGGAGGACAGAAGGAGAAAATGAGAGAATAGAGATATAGAGAGGAGATGGAGAGAGGGACAGAAGGAGAGAGGGAGAGGAGAGAGACAGAGAGAGAGGAGATGAGGGGGATTCAGTGTCCCATCTTAAGAGGGAGACAGAGGATCAGATTAACTGGAACCACGTGGTCATTTAATCTGATTAATTTTCATAGAGCAGCAAGATGAATTACTGTTGGAAGCCAATAAACTCTCTCTCTCTGCTCCTCTTGAATCCCAGCCCAGTCACTAGTCACTGTAGTGCCTGGTGCTCCAGCCTTCTGAAGTGTGCATAGGCACTGCGTGTCTCAATCTGTGCTCTCACTCTGAGCAGTACATAGAAATATACAGATTTTCAGACCAACTTTCTTAGACACATTCTCTTTTCTTCGCCCATACCTTGTCTCTGAGGCTGGTGGTTATCTATGCATAGTCACTTTACCCCTACCTACAGTGCCTTTGGAAAGTATTTAGACCCCTTGACTCTTTCCACATTTTGTTAAGGTACAGACTTATTCTAAAATGGATTATCCCAACAACAACAAAAATCTGCAATCTACACACAATTCCCCATAATGACAAAGCAAAAAACGTTTTTTTAGAAATTTCAGCAAATGTATTAAAATGTATAAACAGAAATACCTTATTTACATAAGTATTCAGACCCTTTGCTATGAGACTCGAAATTGAGCTCAGGTGCATCCTGTTTCCATTGATCAAATTTGAGATGTTTCTACAACTTGATTGGAGTCCACCTGTGGTAAATTCAATGGATTGGACATGATTTGGAAAGGCACACACCTGTCTATATAAGGTCCCAAAGTTGACAGTGCATGTCAGAGCAAAAACCAAGCAATGAAGATGAAGAAATTGTCTGTAGAGCTCAGACAGGATTGTGTCAAGGCACAGATCTGGGGAAGGGTACCAAAACATTTCTGCAGCATTGAAGGTCCTCAAGAACACAGTGGCCAATTCTTAAATGGAAGAAGTTTGGAATCACGATGGCTCTTCCTAGAGCTGGCCGCCCGGCCAAACTGAGAAATCGGGGGGGAAGGGCCTTGGTCAGGGAGGTGACCAAGAACCCAATGGTCACTCTGACAGAGCTCTAGAGCTCCGCTGTGGAGATGGGAGAAAATTTCAGAAGGACAACCATCTCTGCAGCACTCCACCAATCAGGCCTTTATGGTAGAGTGGCCAGGCGGAAGCCTCTCCTCAGTAAAAGGCACATGACAGCCCGCTTGGAGTTTGCCAAAAGGCACCTAAAGACTCAGACCATGAGAAACAAGATTCTCTGGTCCGATGAAACCAAGATTGAACACTTTGGCCTGAATGCCAAGCGTCATGTCTGGAGGAAACCTGGCACCATCCCTACAGTGAAGCATGGTGGTGGCAGCATAATGCTGTGGGGATGTTTTTCAGCGGCAGGGACAGGGAGACTAGTCAGGATCGAGGCAAAGATGAACGCAGCAAAGTACAGAGAGATCCTTGATGGACCTCAGACTGGGGCGAAGGTTCACCTTCCAACAGGATAACGACCCTAAGCACACAGCCAAGACAAAGCAGGAGTGGCTTCGCGACAAGTCTCTGAATGTCCTTGAGTTGCCCAGCCAGAGCCCGGACTTGAACCCGATCAAACCTCTGCAAAAACCTGAAAATAGCTGTGCAGCAACGCACCCCATCCAACCTGACAGAGCTTGAGAGGATCTGCAGAGAAGAATGGGAGAAACTCCCCAAATACAGGTGTGCCAAGCTTGTAGCGTCATACCCAAGAAGACTCGAGGCTGAAATCGCTGCCAAAGGTTCTTAAACAAAGCACTGAGTAAAGGTCTGAATACTTATGTAAATGTGATATTTTTATGTTTTTAACTTTTAATAAATGTGCAGAAATGTCTAAAAACCTATTTTTCCTTGTCATTATGGAGTATTGTGTGTAGATTGATGAGGATTTTTTATTTTTTTTAAATACATTTTAGAATAAGGCTGAAACGTAACAAAATGTGGAAAAAGACAAGGGGTCTGAATACTTTCCCAAGTACAAATTACCTCAACTAACCTGTACCCGCACACATTGACTCGGTACCGGTAACTCCTGTATATAGCCTCGTTATTGTTATTTTATTGTGTTACTTTTTATTTTATCTTCACTCTATTTCTTGAACTGCATTGTTGGTTAAGGGCTTGTAAGTAAGCATTTCACGGTATTCGGCGCAAGTGACAAATCAAATTTGATTTGATTTATATAGGAATATATACATACTTGGATGTGTGTATACCACACACAGAAACACATGTTCAAACACACACAAACACACGCACACACTGATCCTATATGTGTCTCTCCAAGCACAGCCAGCCACCCTTGTGAAGAGTGAGGTCAGAGCAGAGCAGAGGACTGCATGGTGTAGTGACACAATGAGTGGATGGCGACCCACTGTGTAATTACTCATTGGCTTGGTGTTTCAGGTCCCTGCACCAGCTAGCCCCACCACCCCTGGCCTTCACCCAGAATCTCCCGCTCTGCCTGGCCTGGTGATGTCATCAACACTCGCCCTGGTCTCTGACTCACAATAGAGCTCTGTGATTGGCTGAGCAGAGAGTGTGCTGACTGATACATCACGCCCCATCTTGTCTCCTCTATAGACACGGGGTTCTACTTGTGTGGTTGGTTCTGTGTTTCAGTGACTTGAGATTGCTTAGTCCTACTACAGTAAATATACAGTACTAGACGACAGGCAAATCAAAATGGAATCAAATGTGGGGGAACATTATTAGGATATAACTTATTTTCACTATCCATAATAAAGCAGCCATGAGTTCCCTGGTGATGGGAGAGCGCTCTCTCGTCGCTCTCTTCTCTTCTTCTCTCTCCGATCTCTACGATCCTGCTCTCTCTCCCCTCTCTCTCTCGTCTACTCTCTCTCTCTGCTCTCTCTCTACTCTTTCTCTCTCTCTCTCTCTCTATCTTCTCTCTCTCTCTAATCTTCGTCCTCTCCCTCTCTCTCCTATCTCTCTCTCTCTCTCTCTCTCTCTCTCATTAATTTGTCGGCATAAGAAGAGTCTAATTGCAGCTCAGGCAGAGAGAGCCAGAGAGCTTTTCAAACAGCCCTCGGAAATCAAATGAATTGTTTTATGAGAGAGATAAGTCTAGGGTCAATTACACATCTTACATAAAGTTGTGAGATTAGCTAAATAATAATGGATTGAAAACCAGAGAGCAATGTGTGTGCGTGTGTGTGTTCCCATGCCATGTCAGTGTGAGAGCGAGTTGGAGGTGTGCCACATCCCTGTGAGACATTGTGGGACCCATGGTGCCAGTAAATACAGCCCTGGTAGGAGGGCAGACAGACACACTGGCTTGTCTCAACCCTGAGAGAGAGTATCATTCATCCCTTCCTGTGATTCTGAATCAGTCCCTGACTCCTCTCACAGCTGCCATCATGACCAGAGCTAGGCTCAGCACAGCGAGAGGGAGTCAGGCAACTGAGCAGAAATTACCCACCATGATGGACACAAATGCTGTATTTTTATTACACACAACAGAAACAACAGTGGGGACAACCTGGTCTCTGTGTGTGGGTGTGTGTGTGTGTGTGTGTCAGCCTTTGAGAATTATACTGAAATTATTTTCATATGAATGCTTGTGCATTT